ACACACACACACACACACACACACACACACACACACACACACACACACACATACACAGGCTTACACCCACACATGCTTAATATAAATGAACAGTAATATATAAACAATACTAATCTTTAGCTAGCGACATATTCATTATGTATGAAGTTAGGGAACTAAATTCCATTAAACTACTAAAACTAACGAAACTAACTTTCATTTGGTTTGTTTGTTGTTTTTATTTATCAAGGGGGTTTCAGAAAGAGCATGTCCCTCTGTATTGACGTTGACAGCATAATTTGATTTTGTGCAATTGGAATTGGAATTTTGGAATTATTTGACTTTCACTTTCGTCTCATGCTCATGTATTGCATAGACCACTTTCTTGTTCATTTTTAATAGTTTTTATGTGACATGAGTGTCTACGGCCATACCACGTTGAACCTACCGGTTCTCATCCGATCACCGAAGTCAAGCAACGTCGGGCGTGATTAGTACTTAGATGGGTGACCGCTTGGGAACACCACGTGCTGTAGGCGCATTTCTTAGGCCGAAGAGCTAGAACTCAAATGGCCGCTGGATCGGAAAAGTATATGACATGAATATTGACTTTTCATCTTTTGCAGATTATTGTTTTTTAAATGTTTTAACGGTTTTTATAACTCGAAAGGCTGGTGTTTGCCTCTCATTCAATAGGTGCCGCGTTCGAATCCGGAGGGCGATGAAAAATTTTCTTCCCTAAAATTTTCTCCTGTCACATCCTTTCTTGCTCTCTAACAATGTTCTGTCTTCTGCTTTCGTCTTCACTTTCTGTCCCCACCCCCTCACCTCCTTTTCCCCTCCTCTGGACTCCTGACTCTTTCTGCAGCCTTTCTGCTGCTTCTCCTTGCCCCCTTCTTACTGCTGTCTTTCAGCCACACCACTGATCTTCTTTTAGGAAAGATCTACACCTAGCCTTCTCGGACAAGGGCGAAAAACTCGGACCTTTGTGGTCTAAAGTCGGTACTCTTCGACCGCCACCAGGGTAAAATTCAAAATTTCCTACCAACTGAAAGTGTTTGGTGTGTCCCGTGCGCTCATATGACTTTATGCAGTTAGTAAAACACTGACCTACTAAAGCTGTTCTGTTACCTGGGGTCTACAATCAGCTCTACTACATCACCTGATTATGAGATCAACGTCAGGGTAGGGAAAGCAGCAACAACTTTTGGAAGGCTGACGAGCATGGGAAAACAAAAGATTAACCATCAAAACAAAGATCAAGGATTTATGAAACATGTGTCCTCAGCACACTCCTTTATGGATCTGAAGCATGGACCTTGTACAGCAGGCAAGAAAAGCACCTCGACATTTTCCATCTCAGATGCTGCCGCAAGATCTTAAGCATTTCGTGACGTGACAAGGTTACAAATGTTGTAGTGTTGGCACGGGCAAACCCCCAAAACATGACAACTATCCTGTTTTTAAAAGATTGAGATGGCTGGGCCATGTTAAGAGAATAGACGACAACCGGATTCCGAAGCAACTTCTCTATGGAGAACTTGCCCTGGGAAAGAGACCAAGAGGAAGACCAAATTTGAGGTACAAAGACACCTGCAAAAACTGCTTATCTAAGCTTGGAGTAGATGTTGGCGTCTGGGAATAAATAGCTGAGGACAGGAAAACATGGAGGAAAATTATAAAGGAAAGAACTATAATGCTAGAGAGCAGCCTTAGAAACAACCAGGCTGGAAGCGCCAACGACGAAAGGAAAACAGCGGAAATACAGAGCTTCGATCTATGACACATACATGCAAGCACTGCGACAGAACCTGCGCTTCAAACATAGGAAGAATTAGGCATGAAAGAAGCTGCATGAAGACAACCTAGAGACCATCTTAAGCTAAATTGACCCTCTGCATAGACGAAAAGAGCCATATAAAACACTGACCGAAATAAAAAAAATTTACCATCTCTCTCTCTCTCTCT